AAATGTTGAACGTTATTTATCGTTTAACCTTTCTGCACATTTAAGAGCTGTTTTAGCACAATTTAGATGTAGTAATTTTAAAATAGCTGTAGAAACTGGGCGTTATAACAACACTGATTATAATCAAAGATTTTGTACATCATGTAATTCTAAAGGTCTTACCTATATTGAAGATGAATTTCATGTACTGTTCATTTGTGAATCCTATTCACAACTAAGAGAGAGGTTTATTACAAAATGTGTTAAAAAGCCTTATACTGTATATTCTTTAGCAAATCTTTTCAAGAATACTAATGTAGACACTGTAAAATCTGTTGCCTTGTATCTATTTTATGTTAAAAGGATTATTACAAACACACTTGAATGATCATTGTGCCCCTGACTACACTGGAATTTCCTTTTGAATGTATTTTGGGCCTACGGCCTTTTACTGGAAATAAACTCTGTCTGTCAATATTTACTGAAGAAACGACGTGTTTCGAATTGAAATTAAATGGAATTGAAATACAACTATTGTGTACTTCCAATATTTTCAGTAATAATGGGGCGGTAGGGTATCCTGGAGGATGAAACACACTGAAGGCCTAAGTTCGGTTTCCCACATGGGTACAATGTGTGAAGCCCATTTCTGGTGTTCCCCGCCGTGATATTGCTAGAATGTTGCTAAGAGCGCCGTAAAACCATACTCACTCGCTCACATTAACGGATGTCTCATCAGACAGTGTGCTGACCCCGCTTATCAATGATATTGGGTCAAACGTCAAGCCAATTAAACACGTCTACACTTGAATCTTCAAAGAGAATTCGAGGAAGTTCGTTTTCCTTCTTCTAAAATGAATATTTTCACAAGAAGGATCACAGTCAATTTTGCCTTTAGGAAATTATTACAGCGGCCCTCTGTCTGTAATTGTGTAGGAACTGGCGCTTTGTTTAATCGGCCTCGAAACTGATAACGCAAGGTTCTTTAATAACCCGTGGCAATTCTGCTTTCACCGGTCACGCCTGAAGGCTAGCCCCCAGTGGTACCAGCATCGGCCATTAAAAGAGTTCAAAAAGTACGGTCTCATCGTGAAATTGGCTGTAACGTTGACCCGAGCTGCTAATAAGTTCCTCTGAACTTTCACCCTATTTCCTGTGGAATGTGCGGGCTTATACCAACGTGCAATCTGTTCATTAAATAGGGTATCATTATTCTATATCATGGAATTCAAAGAACGGATGTTGATATTTTTAAATATATATTTTTGATGTTTGATTGTGGTCTTTATGCCACCGATTGTATCCGTTAGCTTCAAGCAGTTAAAGATTTCTTTGATCTAACCTTGGTTCATGTTTACAACGCAGAAAATTGGCATTGAGTCTTGAAGTTTTTAAATACATTATATCGTATATATTTAAGATATGTGATGACAAATGATTGATTGATCAATTTAAGTTCAATCGTTTGAGTTTTACAAATTTTGAAAAGAATACATCAGTTGGTTAGTGAGCATAGCTATTGAACATGACTTTAGAGTTAGTGAGGCTACTGACTTTGGTGAGTATCTGACGTGCGATGATACCCTATTGAGACAATGCTTATTGAGAACGTCTTAAAGGACGGCGATAGCGAATGGCTTCGGGGACAGCTATTTACGCAATGGCTGTCTATTGACGGCTGAGCAAGACTATATTTATGTTTTTTGTAAAACAGAATCTGAGAGTAATGTTTTTGGTACAGGGTTTTGGACAACTATTGAGGCAACTGGGGGGAGAGGGGGGTCAGCTATGTGGCAATGTCTGTTGAGAGAGGTTTCAGGGCCAACTATAGTCTGTCGTACAGACCCTGAAGCAAATATATCCAAGAAAGCCCACACAAGTCTAGAAAATGTGGCAAGTCTATATTTCCTCAGCTTCTGAAAATGAAAAAATGTCTCAGGGCTTTTTTCATTATATTTTGGGTATTTTTTAGGACTATGAACCTTTTTGTGGGGTAAAATATGTTCATTTCAGAGGGCTAGGACCAAGTATTGAGGCAATGGTTATTGTGGGTTGAGTAAGGTTTTAGGGTCATCTATTGAGTAAGGCTTTGGGTACAGGGCTAGGACCAAGTATTGAGGCAATGGTTATTGTGTGGGGTTTTAGGGTCAGCTATTGAGTAAGGCGTTGGGTACAGGGCTAGGACCAAGTATTGAGGCAATGGTTATTGTGTGGGGTTTTAGGGTCAGCTATTGAGTAAGGCGTTGGGTTCAGGGCTAGGACCAAGTATTGAGGCAATGGTTATTGCGTGGGGTTTTAGGGTCAGCTATTGAGTAAAGGCTATGGAGTAAGGCGTTGGGTACAGGGCTAGGACCAAGTATTGAGGCAATGGTTATTGTGTGGGGTTTTAGGGTCAGCTATTGAGTAAGGCTTTGGGTACAGGGCAGGACTAGGACCAATGGCTATTGAGGCAAACTATTGAGGCAATGGTTATTGTGTGGGGTTTTAGGGTCAGCTATTGAGTAAGGCGTTGGGTACAGGCTAGGACCAAGTATTGAGGCAATGGCTATTGAGAGAGATTGCAGGGACAGCAAGCCAATAAGCCTGATCATCGAACCATGTATTGGTCTAATTCCACCAATTCCAACCAGGAAAATCAACGATATTGAAGAAGGAAAGCTTTGCAGACCACATGTTAAATCAATTATACAGGAAGTCAATTCCTCAGTGATTATAGGTGTTAAACTTGAATTTTGTCAGGTGTAGCAAACATTAAACTCTATTGGTCAGCTCTGTCACAATTCTTGTAGCTGGTGAGACATTCTTTTGAAAAAAACGCCATGCTTTTTATCATGGTGAACAGTAGATCCGCCATACTCCCCGACTTACAGGAAGGAAACAACATCAACAGTGTGGATCTCAGTAATGACTCTTTAACCACATACAACAGTACCCGGTCTAGCCTTTCTATCGACATAAATCGCATTGCCCATCCCTTTCATCTACATAAACCAACCAATCTACATTCCCCATTCCCGCCCAACCCTCACTTCAAAGACATTTTATGTCTTTCAATTTTAACCCTAACGAATGATGTATTTGTGTATTAATCCGTGTTTAACTCTTTATCACACTTCTCTAGCACAAAAGGTTTGGATGCGTTCTTAGAGAAGTTTACTTAGAGCTACAAGGCCACAGATCTACATTACATATTATCATCTTAAAGCACGTCATAATATATTATACAGCTATAAACTGGAACATATTAACAAAATATACAAAAGTAAAAAACAAACAAACAAAAAACCAAACCAAACAAAAATATCAACATTCAACATCTATTAGAGGGACACACGCTATTTTATAGCCAGGTAACACTGCAGCTTTTCAGGGTTACGAGCAAACACTGGCTTCACACATTGTACCCATCAGGGCAATCGAACCCGGGTCTTCGGAGTGACGAGCGAACGCTTTAACCACCAGGCCGTTCAGCTAGCCTGAGAGTGAACTAGGGCGGTGGAGTAGCCTAGTGCGTGGTTAAAGCGTTCGCTCGTCACGCCGCAGACCCGGGTTCTATTCCCGACATGGGTACAATGTGTGAAGCCCATTTCTGGTGTCCCCGCTGTGATATTGCTAAAAAGCGGCGTGAAGCTATACTCACTCACTGATAGTGAACTTCGCCTTCTGTATACGTATTATAACATGGCCCACACCGTCTGCCTCCTGGGATATTTAGGGTCTGAAAATTTGCTCCACTTCTTCATGTGGTACCACGGAGTTACTAAAAACGCATCGATTTTGGGGAGTCTCTCTAAATAATCTCATAATATCTAGTAAATCCGTTTAATTCGTTAGGTTGTCCTTATCGTTCCTACACTTTTGGTGATGACACTAGAAACTTTGCATCATCAATATCCATTGGCGTTAAGATTAAAATATCAGCGATTGACTGATGCAAACCTTAATAAAGAACGCTTTTAATTGGTCCACTCATTTTCTGAAATTTATCGAAATCTGTTAACCAGAGTTATTATTTTAAACAGCTGGGCAAAACAAACGCGAGTAAGTGCGTGAGAGCGTGAGTGAGTGAGTGGGTGAATGAGTGAGTAGGGTTAACGCCGGTTTAATAATATTCAGTTATATCACATCATCATGTCCGCACCCGTGAAGATCCGGGGTAGAATAGGTCTTCAGCAACCCATGCTTGCCATAAAAGGCGACTATGCTTGTCGTAAGAGGCGACTAACGGGATCGGGTGGTCAGTTTCGCTGACTTGGTTGACACATGTCATCGGTTCCCAATTGCGCAGATCGATGCTCATGCTGTTGATCACTGGATTGTCTGGTCCAGACTCGATTATTTACAGAATGCCGCAATATAGCTGGGATATTGCTGAGTGCGGCGTAAAACTAAATTCACTCACTCACTCATCATGTCCGTTTAATATAGGAGGAAATCCAGAAGTGACGCTAGTTTCAGACGTTTACCAAGTTTGTGAAACCCACGAGCACAGGTGTAGTCCTGAAAAACCAGATACATTGTTATGACGAGCCGGGATTCGAACCCGCAGTCATAAATTCCTGGCGTGACCAAGGGACGCTACTCTGCAGCGCCTTTACGATTGAGCCACCCGTGCCCTCCCAAGACGGAAACCGGGTGCCGATCCACAAAACGTTGACAATCGCAAGCCTATGATTAAACTATAGAGTTACGACAGGTCGTAACGTTACGAACGCTTTGTGGATCGGGACCCTGAATAGCAAAGATAATACAAACGTGACCGATCTGCTTGTTTACCTGCCGGTGACCGACTACAAGTTAATCTCAACTCAAGAATGTAGTATAATACAATCACCTAGACTTGCCAGGTCTCGTTTGAAATATTACAAACCAATTCAGCAGCAAATTAATCACGATTGCGTCAAAAGTCAAGATACGTTAAAACAAACCGGTTTTATCCAATCAGTGCTGTACAAACTAGTTACATAACAGTACAATATCTTACAACATCACAGGCCGCTGAAGCAAGCGACGTGACCGAGCGTAATCAGGTCATTCCTCCTGCTGAGATAGCCTACTGTTATTAATCCACCTCAGGCAGTGACCTGAATCAGGGCTTTGTAGTTGATGTGTGGTTGTTGTTGTCGTACGACGTCTTAACGTTTCCGTCTTGGTGAGCTCGGATATATACAGATATTCACAACATCTACGGGATTTACAGCAAATACACGATTTCTACGTTCAGACTGAAAGGTAACTTGTGTAGTGTATAGATGTTACTTAAATAGAATTGATATAGCATGTAATTCTTGCCTGGTGACTTTCTGAGGTCTCGAGGTGCTGTCATCTGTGTACGTGGAACAAAGCATTGTGTATGTGTGTATATAACGTCGGTTATCTGGTACATTTACATTCCCGTGTTAGGATATATATATATATGAGCTATACACATATAGATTCTTATGCTTTTATAGCATCATCTCACCATCACCACCACCACCATCATCATCATCATCATCATCATCATCATGGGTATTGCATCATCATCAGTATATATATATATATATATATATATATATATTTCGTGTGCAGTAGTATATGTGGTTTTATCATCATCATGATGATCGTCGTCGTCAACATCATCATCATCATCATCACCATCATCATCGGTATTGCATCCCTCTTGTTAACAGTGGGCGGTGGGGTATATATATATAATGGTTAAAGCGTTGGCTCGTCATATATATAGACCCGGGTTCGAATCTCCACATATATCTGTGTGAAGCCCATTTCTGGTGTCCCCATCGTGATGATGCTGGATCGCTAAAAGCGTCATAAAACCAAACTCATCACGTCAGTCAGTCTTGTTAACAGGTAGATTTACGTTTGGTAGCATATGTGGTTTTCCTTATGATGAAGATGATGATCATGGTCATCATCATCACCATCCAAAGTATTGCATCCCTCGTGTTCATATGTACATTTAAGTACAGTAGCATATGTGTACAGTAGTACATCATCATCATCATCATCATCCCGCAGTACTAATTGTTACATACCCCTTGAGCACAACGTAGACACTGCACTTGTAAAAATGGCGATATACACAGTGGACAAAAGTATTTCCTGATGTACATATATTACCATGGCAACATTTATGTTTATAACGATCCACTTAAGACAGTAAAAGGGTACTTATGTACAAGTGGCCTTGAGGTATTATTACAGATGCTGTCGTTTAGACTCCCACAAACACGGTTACACTTGTACATGAAAGCTTTAAAGGGTCGACTGCGCTATCAACCGGAACATACTATGACAGCGAGAAGTATCTCGGAAATACACGGTGAAGGTTATACACAACTTATATCAGGAAAAGGATTTATTATCGTAAACTGCAGCAACAGTTAGGACCATTTTCTGTATCAGGAACATGTCTTGCATGTATATAGTTTCTGCTTAATGTTGTACATGGTTTGGATACACATACCTTCTGGTTACCAGCGTTGTGAATCATACCCTTTATACCGCGCGTTAAAACGAGGTATGTAAATATTCATGTAGATAAGAAAGTAGTGTACATATAGCATGCATTTGTCTTCATAGTTAATGTTTGTTAAACAATCCCCATGGGCCCCGGCATGGTGATCTACCTTCAGTTGCTGGCAATCTATAGCCCGATTTTATATTGTTGTCGTTGAGAAATGATCAAGCATTTCACACTGAACTCAAACTAGATTTAATTAATTTGTGTTACTCTAGTTTGTTACACTGTCCTTCGCTGACAACATTTAAAAAAAAGTATAGATACATTTATTCTTAGTAAATTATTTTTGTCGTCGTGATATGGCTGAAATATTGCCGATGTGACGTTAAATTGTAAATCACTCACTCACTCACTTGTGAATCTGACAACATTGGTAGTAGTTACAACTTTCAACCTTAAATTATTCAATTTTATCCTGTATAGTCACTTGATTGTCTAAATCATGGTGGAATTAAGTACACTGTTTATCTGGACAAAGATGTTTTCACGTATGTATTTCTTTTTTGAAAAAGCAAATCCCCTCTTACTTAAGGGTGTGTTTATTTCTAAGCTACTTTAAGCTGAGAAGCGCCGTAGCAAAATATAGCTATTTTGAAATCGATCTGTCCATGTGATCATGAAACAGTAGAAAAATGTTAGTGTAAACATGGCAGTGCCCTACCCTATTACAAAATACATATACCAGTCAGAACAAGATGAATTATTCCCGTTTATGGAAGACTGTGTGTTGCAACATACCAACCAGTCACGACAGACTAAGTATAGCCATCTGAACCAAATGGGGTGTTCTTTAAAATGGGGCACACAACTAATGAAATGACGGTATTGACAAATAAGTTTCTTAAAATTCGTTCTATTGGATTCATATAAACATACAAACATACACCCGTATAAACATATGAACGAGCCTTCCTTTACTATGTTAAATTTTAAATACAAAAGCATACTTTTATTACCTCAATGAATAGAAATATGTGGAAAATATATGAAAAACATTTTTTTTAATTCGGAAAGAATTATTTGTAACATTTTACTAATGAGATGACGGTATTGATAGGTAGGTTTCTTAAAATAAATTGTATTGCACTAAAACAACATATAAATGATTCGTTCCTTTAATGAATCTGTAAATTTTTGAAGCTCAAGAAACAGAAATATATGTTGACAGTGGGGAAATATATGAAAAACATTAAAAAGAATTCAAATTCGGAAAGAATTTTATCACATTTTTCTTTTAACTAGGTTATTTCCTGTATTGGATAACTTCATCTGGAACATCACCCAGCGTCATTGTTTCCATACGTTACGCCGTGAGAGGCTAGGCGTCCCGTGGATTAGGATTTATAGTGAGGGAAGATGGCTCATAGTAAAGATGGCATGGCTGTCGTTGTGGAATGTAAACTTGCGTCAGAGTAATTACTGCGGTGTAGCTTAATGTCAACTTGAAATGATTAATGTCCTTCACATGCTGAGGTAAATTATAGAGACTTAGATTAGTCCGTGCGTGTGATGTCAGTGTGGACTGTGTGATGTCAGTGTGGAGTGTGTGTGATGACTGTGTAGACTGTGTGTGATGACTGTGTAGACTGTGTGTGATGTCAGTGGGGAGCATGTGTGTGATGTCAGTGTGGGAGTATGTGTGTGATGTCAGTGTGGATTATGTGTGATGTCAGTGTTAGACTGTGTGTGATTTCAGTGTAAACGGTGTAATGTCAGTGTGGACTGTGTGTGATGTCAGTGTAGACTGTGTAATGTCAGTGTGGACTGTGTGTGATGTCAGTGTAGACTGTGTGTGATGTCAGTGTAGACTGTGTGTGATGTCAGTGTGGACTGTGTGATGTCAGTGTGGACTGTGTGATGTCAGTGTCTAGTGCAGTGGACTGTGTGTGATGTTAGTGTAGACTGTGTTGTGATGTAGCAGTGTAGAATGTGTGTGTGATGTCTGTGACTGACTGTGTGTGTAATGTCAGTATAGACTGTGTGTGCGATGTCAGTGTGGACTGTGTGTGTGATGTCAGTGTAGACTGTGTGTGATGTCAGTGTGGGTAGACTGTGTGTGATGTCAGTGTAGACTGTGTGTGATGTCAGTGTAGACTGTGTGTGTGATGTCAGTGTAGACTGTGTGTGTGATGTCAGTGTGGACTGTGTTTGATGTCAGTGTAGACTGTGTGTGATGACAGTGTAGACTGTGTGTGATGGCAGTGTACACTGTGTGTGATGTCAGTGTAGACTGTGTGTGTGATGTCAGTGTAGACTGTGTGTGTGATGTCAGTAGACTGTGTGTGATGTCAGTGTAGACTGTGTGTGATGTCAGTGTAGACTGTGTGTGATGTCAGTGTAGACTGTGTGTGATGTCAGTGTAGACTGTGTGTGATGTCAGTGTAGACTGTGTGTGATGGCAGTGTAGACTGTGTGTGTGATGTCAGTGTAGAATGTGTGTTGATGTCAGTGTGGACTGTGTGTGTGATGTCAGTGTGGACGGTGTGTGATGTCAGTGTAGACTCTGTGTGTGATGTCAGTGTAGACTCTGTGTGTGATGTCAGTGTAGAATGTGTGTGTTATGTCAGTGTAGAATGTGTGTGTGATGTCTGTGTGGACTGTGTGTGTGATGTCAGTGTAGACGGTGTGTGATGTCAGTGTAGATGGTGTGTGATGTCAGTGTAGACTCTGTGTGTGATGTCAGTGTAGAATGTGTGTGTGATGTCTGTGTGGACTGTGTTTGTCATGCCAGTGTAGATAGTACCTTCTGACATCTGCTAACTGAAATGGTTATTTTTACCTTGAAGTGATCCCTTAACCCGAAAATTCCTTAGTTCCTTTTCACGTGTTCACGCAATGTTACATTAATAGGCACAAATATTCTACCATGACAATAAATTCACAAATTTCAGGATAGACCGATGATAGAAAACCACCCAAGTGTATATTGGCGTTCCACAAAAGATCGTCCCCAAAGACGGGTTTCCGGTCTTACCAAGTTGGGATTATGTTGTTCATTGATGTTCACAAAAATATATATCATTGTATGTAACGGTTCCTACTTTGTCTGGTGGGTTACAGAGTGCATGTTAGTGCGTGTATTTTCTCCGCTACCTGCTAGCGCAGTGCGTGTCGTGCAGAAAACACGTCACTGTATAGCCTCATGGTGTTAGGATCAGAACGATAAATCACCAATACTATATCGGAGATCGTGCCAGCAAAGAAGTGGAGACATCTGACTTGCGTGACTTTACTCACTTTGGTGGTGCGTGTGTTCTTTTGTTATTATTCGGATACAAATGACAACAAATATGAAATTATATGGAACGTTCGTGCAGTGTACTGCTATCAATATTTTCATGTTGGGTGATTCCACAAATATGGTGGTGGGGGTTTGGAGGTCCGGAATTTGTTAGTGAGGTGTGCGGACCGTGAAGGTCCGGCGTGTATATCGAGGTCCCCGACATCTGATCTTTGTTGTAAGGTGTCCGGGATATCAAGGTCTACGATCTATTTAGTGAGGTGACGGAATATCGAGATCAGGAATCTCAATAAGGTAAGGTGAACGAGCGAGCGGATGACACCGATCTGAGTAGGAAGATGTCTGGATCGAAAATGAACGCTTTGGAAATTCAGCCTTTCAACGATCAAGGCATGAAACGTTTATAAACGATTTACTAGAATTGTTGTTTGTAAGATCATTACCGAGTGACCATATCACGTTTTT